AGTATTGTTCTCACAGGGGAGCTGTGCTTTTTCTAAGAGTACCGTAATACGGTGGTGCTTTTAAGCCTGATACTGTACGTGGCTTGATGAGATGGGGAAAGAGCTCACAAAGAGCTTAATTGTGCTTGGAAAATTTAAGTGAATGAGAATTCTTTCCTACCCGATGAAAGTAACGTTAAATGGAAGTAATGTGGGAATCCTTATTTAAAACTGGAACTATTTAAAGATTGGAACTCTTTGAGTAGTTTGTGGTGTGAATTCACATACACTTTGAATAGTCTGTGAGTTAATGGTGAAGAATATTCCCACTTCATTCTTGTTCTGGACATACAGATAATTTAGCTTTAGATTCTGACCGCTATTAAAGCAAGTTTACAGCTGTACCTCAAACTGCAGAGGGAAGGAACAAGCACAGCTGAAAACCAAGAGAAGATTAATGCTCGTGGTCACTTTTAATATCTCTTCTTGCTACCTGCAGTCTGAGTTTTCCATATTACTCCATTCTATAGACTTTTTTTTTTTTCCCCCCCAAACCCAAATGATGAATCTAACTTTCTGCTAGGCACTAAAATTGTATATAATTGTAAACTGTCCACATACAGGAGGGTATTGATGCCTGCAGAACAGATCATGGAGACACGGTTGTTGCTTTCCTTTAGGAAAGGGAAATTTCTCTTGCGAATATTAAATGATTGTCAGTCATCAACAGTGTCCAAAAGCCCCCATCCGAGTATACAGATTAGGCAACTGAAATGCTTCTTGATTTTGAATAAGCTTAAAATACTTTTCGATCTTGCAGTGTTGAATACAAGTCTTGAGTCAGCAGATTTGGTCTGAAGGGCAGGAAGACTTCTGATGAGTGTCAGTGGCTTCTGTGTAACCTGTCTGTATTTATTAAAGGATGTGTCGATTCTAGAGGCTGTTTATTTTCTAAATGAAAACTAGTGGAAATTAGTATAAACAGCTTAGTGGATATGTTTTGTCTCAAATCTTGATTTCTTCCCTTGCTCCCATCTCCCTTTTGCTCCCTCCTTTCCCTGAAACAGACTTCAACTTAAGTTGTTTGTCTTTGAAAACTTCTAGTGCTGCGTTTGATACAGTCCTTGGAATAAATGTTGCTGTAAAGAAGCTGAGTCGTCCTTTTCAGAATCAAACCCATGCAAAAAGAGCTTACAGAGAGCTTGTTCTTTTAAAATGTGTCAATCACAAAAATGTAAGTTTGGCTTTCTATTTCTCTCCCTCATTACTGTAAGTTGTCTAAAAAGCTCAGGATTTGCTCTCTTACGTGCTGTTAGTAACCAAAGTAATGGAAAAAATAGGGAGAGCAAGACCGGAAAGATTTGCTGTGGGTAATGCAGTTCTCCACAACGTCCAGTTAAGCTATTGGGTGAGCTGTTCAGAGGACAAAGTGCCCCGAGGAGGAGGTCTTCGCTGTGGCGTTGGTATAGGTTTGCCATCAGTGTCTGCTTTATAGAACTGGCCTTGCTGTATTGCGTTTGCCCGTGTAAGTCGTCCTGCAGCAAAGCCTGTGTGGCCGTGGGTTTGGCTCTTGTAACTGCACTGTAGTTAAATCTTCTGAGCTTAGGCAAGATTTTTATTAAATACAGGGTGCATTTGATTTTGAGTGGTAACTTCTGTAATAGTGGATTTTTATGTGAATTAGAGTGGAAGTTTCTTCTAATGTTTGTTTTTATTTTACAGATAATTAGTTTATTAAATGTATTCACGCCACAGAAGTCACTAGAAGAATTTCAGGATGTGTAAGTACTAGATTTTTGTTTTAATTTTCCTGACAAATACTGGCCTAAGCCCTGGAGCTGTATTTCCAGTATCCTACAGACTCCACACTTGGAAAACAGAGGGTAGCTAAAGGCTAAATTTAGCCTTTAATTAGCCTTTATTTCTGGATTTCTTTAAGAAAGACCAAGAAAGTTGTTTCACTACATGGATAAGATGAAAGTGGGAAATAAAAAAAAAAAAAAAAAAATTACTTACCTTCTATTCATCTGTCTGCCATACTTTGCTGATTGCATATGCATCTGGTTTATGTGCATTGTCCTTTGGCTAAACGGGTCACCTCAGGATAATAACTCGGTCTGGATAATCTGATATCATTTTTTGCCATACCAGTCTCATCAGCACAGCGGTATTTTTGGCGTCAATTAAGAACTGAATCCATTTCTTCTTTATGCAAGCTGTGTCAATTGGCCTAGAAAGGATCCATGGTGTTTTAATGGGTGGGGTATTCATAGGTTGCAGCGAATATGCTGTTACGGCTTGTGAATGGGCTTCTTGGGTGAGCAGGGGAGCATGTGTGTGTCCGAAGAGGGTAAGCAGGTGATATTTTAACTTGAAAATGAGTCATTCCTTCTTAGTTCTTACTGTGCTTTTCTTAAATTTCTTATTTTTTAAAAATTAAAATACATTGAAAAGCGTAATTTTTGATACATTGCAGTATCTGCAATTTCTGCATCAACTTCAGTCAGTCTTAGTACTTCATGCTGCATAAACTCAGAATTATTCTTCTGTGTTACTGTTTATAAAACTAGCGGAATTCTAATCTCTTGTGATGGATTATTCAACACTTAGTTTTTAATAGTAAGACTATTTGAACAGATAATAATTTCATTTGACACTGGTCATGTATGGTTTTTTTTAATCATAAGTGTTTTGACACTTATGTTAGCAAAGTAGTTGGCTTTTATTAAACATCTCTCATGCTAAGCTTAAACCTGATATGAAAAGTAAGACTTCTTACTTGCTTGCTTTCTTGTGCTTTAGATACTTGGTTATGGAGCTGATGGATGCAAATTTGTGCCAGGTTATTCATATGGAATTGGATCATGAAAGAATGTCTTACCTGCTTTACCAAATGCTATGTGGTATCAAACATCTCCACTCAGCGGGTATCATCCACAGAGTAGGTAGTATTAGATCATGAACAACACTTCTTATGAACACAGATGTTCTTATGAAACGGGGGGAGGCGCGGGGTAGTTATTTCATAAGTTTATATCTCTTTCATTCATAAGAATATTATTAAACCATAAGATTGTTTGTAGTTCAAAGACTGCATTGTAAATCGATCTTAAATCAGGTTTGCTCTGTGGATTTAACTAATGCTGAACTGATTAAAAGATAAAACACGAGTATCTGTGGACCTTCCAAATTACTAAAGAATGAGTCTTTAAAATGTGGTATTACCTCTTAAATATCTCTGTATCCTTGGAAATACTTAAAAGCTGTCTGGACATGGTCCTGGGCAACTGGCTGTAGGTGGCCCTGCTTGAGGAGGGCGTTGGAACCAGATGACTTCCAGAGGTCCCTCCCAACCTGAACCATTCTGTGATTCTGAAAAGTAAACTTTGTGAATGATCAGAATTTCCAAGTCCTTTGCAGACCTCACAAATTTCTCTGCTTCTGTTGTTCTGCTGCTTCTCTTTAAATTTTATGACCAGTCTGTTTGACAGTTCTTGTTTTCTGTTCTTTTCCTTCTCTTCCCCTACTTCTGGGCACACTTGCCTTTTGAATTTCTTTGGTTTTTGCCTGGTGGCTGAAAACTTTGTCCAGTTCTAGTCTAACGTGCTTTTGTTCTGTATGTTCAATCCATAAACATAATTGAGAAGCTGTATAAATTACAACAAATCTACTTCCTTACTTTGCTGAAAAAAATCTGCCATGAAAATACTGTGGTATTAGCAAGGAAGTTACGTATAGTTAAGCGAAGTGTGTATCCAGGTAATCTTAGTACTGGGCTTTCCTAGAACTATGGAGCGAGGTGTGTAAGAGACTGAAGCGGGAGGACTGGGACTCCTGCCGAGCTCCTCCTGACGCGGTGGCTGTGATTTGGAGCTAAAGGGGAGGCACGATATTTGCTGAGAGATTTAAGCTCAAAGGACCGAACAGGAGCAGTCGGACAGCACCGATAGCGGTTGGACAGTGAAGGGGCAGTGCCCTGTGAACAGCTGAACAGCGGCGTGCTGGTTACTTGAGTGGGGAGGATCAAGTGGGGAGCGTGAGGCTGGCTTAGTTTGGGACCACAACAAAATCATCTTTCTGGAGTGAACGCTCTTAGTTAGAGGAGAGATTTGGTTTTGCAAAGAAACAAGGCTAGGAAGGGAACAGAACTGGGATAGTTCAGAAGGAATGGAATAGTAGGAATTACACCTAGAAACTACTCAGAGTCTGTGAGCAAATAGAGCTTGAAATAATGAACACTACTCGTAACTGTTATGAGTTGATAACTATTGAAATCTGTTATCCTTCACGTGGCCCAGCATTATCGTAAGATGAGATCACAAATTTCACTATCAACTACTGCAAATTATTATTCTGCTGTTTCAGGAGAGAAATCCGAGTAGAGGATTAGAAACTCTAACCTTGCTGACAGTAAATGCAGTAGCACTCTGCAGAAGATGTGCTGCCTTCCTAAAAGATGGAAACCCACAGGAACTGTTTGTGTGTCCCCATCTCCTTTAAGAAAAGGAGGTTCTGCACCTGAGAACATGGTTCATGTGCAGGTTGAAACGAGGTCCAACACGTGAGCAGAATTCAGCGTACTAGTACATCGTAGTTCAGCTACTGCTGATACTTTGTGAATAAACCCCAGTTATTCTAGTTTCCCCTAGCTGTATTCCTTCGGGTGCAGTAATGACTGTTCCCATGAAGCATATCTCCTGGAAGTATTTAATTTCTCTCCTCACTCACAGGGTAGCTTTGTGTTGTCACTACGACCTAATTCTCACTGAAATTTGCCAGTCACTCCAATGCACGGGGCTTATCTGTTAACAAAAACTCTTGTTAAGGCTCTGTGTGTTGGGGTACTCCTTCTTCCTACAGACACCCAGCTAATTCATAATGATGTCTTTAGGGTGCGTGCCCTGATAATGACAGTATTGGGAACAGAGTCTCCTTTACCATGCAGCTATTCATATCCAAAATGGGTCCACTTCATGTGTTAAAGGCATGTGTACATGTACACATGTACACACAAAGTACAGATGTGTGTACATCGTGCAGGTATAGAGCCCGCTGTGTAACTGACTGCACAGTCAGGGCACGACTGCTAAAGTAAGACTGCAGACAACTTTGATTCTGGTTTTCCCTGAATTTTTTGGGTACCTAGCTGTGCAGCATTTAGCTTGTCTCTTAAGTCTTTGTATAAATAAGCAGGTACATCAGAGCAGGAATATGCAGTCGTTAATGTGATGTGAGCTGGTGGCGTACATTGACTTGGGGGGGGGTGGGTATTATTGTGTATGTTGATCCTTCCTTAACTGAAGTTATTTCTTGGTAGGATTTGAAACCCAGCAACATAGTAGTAAAATCAGATTGTACGCTCAAAATCCTTGACTTTGGACTGGCAAGGACAGCATGTACTAACTTTATGATGACTCCATATGTAGTAACGCGGTATTACAGAGCACCAGAGGTTATCCTTGGGATGGGATATAAAGAGAATGGTAAGTTGCTAGAGTAATGCTTTAAATCTTTTGTCTAAAGTGTTTCTGTCTCGGAACGTTACAGCTTTAAAAGGGGGAGGGGGGGGGAGGGCTGGTTCCCCCCTGCCATGCCTGTTGTACAGTATGTTAATCATCGTATTGGAAATAATAAAAATGACACTGTAGTAATTTTTGAGAATATAATAGTTTTCTGCTCTGTGTGCCTACCTCTAGCATAGACTGCTCCCTCTCCCTTGCTATTGTTATTTTTTCATGTGTTGCCCTGTTGTCTTGTTGCCATTTTTTTATCCTACCAAAAAACTGTTAAGACACTTATGCTGGATGATGTTAAAAAAAATTAAGAACCATCAATCTATAAAAAATAAACCCCTTTATCGATGTGATTTTATTCTGAAGCATCTTCTTTCAACAGTCTGTCCCCTTTTGCATCTCTGATTACTTTATTAAAATCTGTTTCAGATCCCTATGGTAAACCGTTGTCTTACACTCTCCTAAATCTGCATAGCACTCAGAGGCTGGGTGTTTTTATTAAAAACACAGCTGTAATATATTGAATGTTCAGCCAACAAAACTGCTGGCTAGGAAATTGTCCTTGACTTGCATTATTGGGGGTTTTACCTGCTGAATTTTACCAGCTGTGGAGTAATACGCTGTCTCCTCTGGACTAGTACATCTTATGGCTTTATCCCAGGGGCTGGGGGTACCGTGCTTTTTGCGTATGTGTAACTTTAGCTGTGTAATACAGGAGAGTCTCAGGACCTTGCTGGGCCATGATCACACAAAAAACTTTGATTAATGCACAAGGCAGCTTGTTGTAGAGCACGTGCTGATATGGATCAGAACTTTAGTAAAGGCTGTTCTGGATGGGACAAAAAAATAAATTATCTGCAGGACTGTAGGAATACAGTGTGAGCTTACAAATAAATAATTGTGGTATTTAAAAAAAACCTCTTTAATCTTTTGTCCTTGTTGCACCTAACATATGATAGTGGATATCTGGTCTGTTGGGTGCATTATGGCAGAAATGGTCCTCCATAAAGTCCTGTTCCCAGGAAGAGATTGTATCCTTCTTCACGGTCATTTCAGAAATGTAAACGCTGATTGTATTTTACAGAATGCTGATAACAAAATGTAGCAGCAGTCAGTTGATGTTGATATGGTTGAAAATTCATGCTAGCAGTTTGGTTTTCCACATCGTTGTGTTTTATGGTAGATGCTAGATGGTTTTGTTTGTTTTCCTCACTTTTGTTCATGATACTTCATAATTTGATCATTTCATTTTTACTTTCAGTTGATATCTGGTCAGTTGGGTGCATCATGGGAGAATTGGTGAAAGGTTGTGTGATATTCCAAGGCACTGATCGTATCCTTCCCTAGTCATCCTTGAATCCCATTCCACTTCCAACAGAAACACAATTATTTTGATCTGTATAAGTATAAAAGCATAAGCGATATTTTCAATAATATGTTTTAATAGATCTACTGTACTATTTGAAATTAGTGTCATTAACCAAATTGAGCTTTCCATTTTCTTTTCTTAGTAGATTATATTTAATGTAATTTGTACTGCTTGAATCTATAGAATTTATATTAAGAGCTTCAGCTTTTGTACCTTAAAAAAGGATACTGTTAGGTTTAAAAAATAAATAGAAGTAAGTGTATCTTCTTACTCTTGTTCTTTGCAGATAAGTATTATAAACAAAAGCCTCCAAAGTTACTTTTTACTGTGCATGGATTTCGCTTACTATTTGTTTGAACAGTAGATTCATTTTTTTATCGTACAATTTTCTGAGTTTCAATTAGATTTTTTTCTTGCTTATTAGCACTTGCTGGACAGCAGTGTCCTAATTGCAAGCACACTGCATGAGAAATGTTTTTTGTTACTATTATTTATTACAAAAAATACCTTTTTCTTTTTGGAGTTTTTTTCTTCTATGAAAATTTTATTTTGGGCTTACTTTTTCTGTAAGATTGTTATTCCTCCATTCTTCCCTCCAGTACTTCTGACCCAGATTTGTCGTCTTAAAATTCTGCTCTCTTGTACAATAGTAATTGTAGGAAATTCTACTATATTAAAACCAAACAAACCCCTCATGTGTTTTCATGCCTTAGAGATTGGAAATCTCAATAATATATCACTGGATCAAACAACTCCTTACACTGTATTCAGTGAACAGAAGCGATCATTTAATAAGGTAAATATTCTTTGAAGATTTTAATGTATTTCAAAATATTTCCATAGAAACAAAATTTAAAACATTTGACTCATTATCAAGTTCCAATTATAAAAATTGGAGCAAACCCAATTTCATCCTTTATAAATAATATCTTAGGAAGTCATAGTGTTGTAGGACTAGGCATGCAAAATTGATCAGTAAATAGAGTCCAGACAACATAATTAAGCCAGTTATGGCTGTAGGTCATATGAAGCTGTAGCTACTTGTGGTCCAAGGTTTTGAAGAAAGTATAATATTTTTGTTCGTCAGCAAGGAAAAGCTGAGTCCACCACTAAAAATATCAAGTATGCGTTCACAGAATCTTTTCATAGATACCTATGTATCTTACAGAGGAGGACTTTCAATTTTAATGCTAAATTTCATGACACTAATCTCCAGCAGTTGATCATGCATTATTTAGTAGTACAAATGATTAATGGTTAAATAAGTCTTTTTGTTTTCCACCTTTCTTCCTTTATATACTTATTGTTTTACCTTTTGAAGCCTTCAGACCAACCTAACACAATTCTTCATGTATGTTATGTGTCTTTCACCTGCATGTCAGCATGGGCTGTTTTGATTTATTCATGAATAAATGAAGGAAATTTTGTCCATACTTGTTGAATATGCAACTTATCCCTTGTGGTGCCCTGGAGGTCACTGAAGCTCCACCAGTCTATGTTTCAAGCAGTCTGCTCCCCTGCTCTCTTACCGGAGTGCACAGCTATGCTTGCAGGGCTTTTTTCCTCTTGCACAACTTGCAGTTCTCTTTAATGCGAAATGCGGATAACTCGGTGGTGTTGAGACTTTTCCTGACTGATAACTGCTTCAGTCAGACTGTTGTTTTTTCTTTTACCTTCGACTGCAGGATTGTTTTGAGACTGTGGTTTATGGGGGATGCTGGTGTGCATGGCTGTGAAGCTTTCAATCTTTTTGTGGTTTGGTTTTTTTTTTTTTTACTTAAATTTTAAATGTCTTAGTAGTTGGGGATTTAGGGCAGGGAGCCAAGTCCAGCATGTTGCCTAATGGTGTGCCTTGACTGTCCTCAGGAAAACTTACTCTTAGACTCAGTAGTTTGTATTTTCCCAAGTCGACGGGGATTGCTGGGATACTTGCAGCAGTGCTCTGGGTGGAATGAGATGCTCCGCACTGCTGGGGCCATGGATGCTCCAAGCCTGCTCCTGGCTGGTGCTGTGGAGGACAAATTACAGTTACTGGCAGTTGCTGTTGCACTGTAAATGACAAAACAGGCAACGTAGATACCCAAGATGAAATAAAGGAAAGCTTAGCAGCACCAGAATGTTTTTAATGCTCTTTCTGTCCAAGTTGTGAAAGAAACTAATGGTCTGGCTGATGCAAAAAGCATGAGAAGGTCTTCATGCTTTCTTGGGAAAAATCATCCTTACTGTGACTTTAATGAGGACTCAGTTTTCAACTTCCCTATTTCCAGAGTCCCAAAAAATAGACAGATATACTTGGCATATGTCCTGGTTTTGGCTGGGACAGAGTCAATTTTCTCCCTAGCTGCTGGCATAGTGCTGTGTTTCGGATTTAGGATGGGAAGAATGTTGATAACTCACTGGGAGTTCAGTTGTTGCTGAGCAGTGTTTATACTAAGTGAAGGACTTTGCAGCTTCCCCTGCTCTGCCGGGGGCACAGGGAGCTGGGAGGGGGCACAGCCAGGACAGCTGAGCCCGACTGGCCCCAGGGCTATTCCATACCATATGGCGTCATGCCCAGTATAGAGACTGGGGGGAATTGGCCAGGGGGCAGCAATCACTGCTCAGGGGGGCATCAGTCAGTGGGTGGCGAGCAATTGCATTGTGCATCACTTACTTTGTATATTCTTTTAGCATTATTATTATCATTATTATTATTTATTATTTTCCTCTGCTGTTTCACTAAACTGTCTTTATCTCAACCCATGGATTTTACTTTTTTCCTGATTCTCTCCCCCCTCCCACCACGGGCTGGGGGGTGCAGAGAGTGAGCGAGCGGCTGCATGGTGCTTAGTAGCCAGCTGGGGTTAACCCACGACAGCACGGGCTAAACTTCTGGTGACTTTGGCCGTGAGGCCACTGGAACAGGAAGGGTGGTTTTGCCTGCAGGTTGCAGGGTTATTCGTACAGCACGCTCCGGGTGCTTTCCATTGAAGTTAAGGTTTTCTCCCGTTTGGGTTTCTGATAACAGGCTTAGCTTATTTCAAGTCCAGCCCTATATCGGGGAATTTTTTTTTCCAGTTTTTGGTATCTGTGAAGCACTTTGAAGCAATCCAGCTGAGACTTTTTTTTTCCTGGTTTTTATTACTGAAGTGGGATAGTTCGTTAAGTTTTTCTGCCCTCCCCCTGGTGCTCTGCGACCACAACAGACTGGACGCTAACTTGGTTAGCTGGTAACAGACTGCTGTTACTCCAAGAAAAAGCATCCTCTTGAATCTAGATTGGTGGACATCGCTCAGAAATCAGCTAGGAGCAAAATTTCCTGATGTATGTTAAAATTTCTGTGTATGTGCTTTGTTTCAGCATGAGAGTTAACAATACTGACTCCTTAATTTTGATTTTAATACAGTTTTTCCATCGGAATGTATTCAGTAAGCATATATAATTTTCAATCTTTGTATCAGAAGTCTGAATTCTTAGCATGAAGCAGTGACTATGCAGGCATTTCCAGTTGTATTCTTGGCACACTAACTGAAATAAAAGCACCTCAGTGGTTTTTAAATACATCTTAGTTCAAAGTGCAGCAAATTTGTTGTTTTGTTACAAAATCTGTCTACAAGAATGGGTAGGTTGAAGTGCTAGATTATGACTTTAGCTGTGAATGTGTGCAACATCCATGGCAAGACTCTACTGGAATTGAGCATTCTTTTTATCAGAGAAACTGTAAATCTGAGTAAACTTAAATATCAGGAATACTAATGCAGTGTCTTCTTGGTGTGATAAATGAGCTTTGTTATCCTGAGCAGGCTCGTTCCAAGCAGACTCTGGTGTCACCCTGGCCAGGGGAAATGCCTTCAGTTTGAAGAGGGAGAAGGGACAGTCCAGGAGAAACATGAGGCACACTTCCAACTTGTGGCCTGTAAATGCAATTCTTATAAAATATTTAAATTCTGAATTAAGAACAGAGTGGTCTTTGAATGTTACCACAGTTGATACGCTTCAACAAAAGAACCCACTAAAAACCTACAGGAATCTGGGTTCACTGTTCAGAACTCCTGTGAACCTTTTCTGAAGATGAAAAGTAAAAAATAAAAAAACAAACCGAAAACACCCCCACCCCCCAACCAACGCTCCCTAAAACCCCTACAACCCAAAGCCTAATTTCCTTAAGAGTCAGGCACAACATTCCTTACTTGGAATGGGATGTATTTGTGCTTTAGGTTTTTTTCATGTATTTTTCCCTACCTTAAAGAATCTTCAGTGGTAATGGTTCTATGTTGTACTCCCGAAGATTCAACAGCAGCCTTTCTTTTCTGTCCTTAAATTGTTTTGCTGTGGATACAGTTGCCAAAAAAGTACTGCTTTTGATACTGGCCGATACGTAATAATTAGCAAAAGATATTTGAGCGTAATGCATTGTGCAGCACTTCTAGCCTGTCCTTGAGATTGCAGAATCTAAACTGTGTTTTTATGTCAATCTGGCTTTTGCATGGCGGCTCAGGATGGTGTCGATGTTACAGTGAAGTTCGTATTTGTGTCCGTTGTTCAAGTTTTCATTGATTTTTCAGATTTCTGTAAGTGATGTTTTTGTATAGTGCAGACTTCAAATTCTTCAGCTGATTTTCCTAAAGGTTTGGTGCAGATATTGATCAATGGAATAAAGTTATTGAACAGTTAGGAACACCATCAGCAGACTTCATGAAGAAACTACAGCCTACAGTGAGGAATTATGTAGAAAATAGGCCAAAATATCCTGGTATTAAATTTGAAGAACTCTTCCCGGACTGGATATTTCCATCAGAATCTGATCGTGACAAGTTGAAAAGTAAGGCGAGTTTTTTTTTGTTTTTTTTTTTCTCTCTCTCTTTTTTTAAAGATGTTAATTTAAAATGTCTGCAATACACTTAATTAAAGTAATATAAAACGTTTCCTGCAATGTGTCAGCGTTGGAAGCTGCATACCTTCTGTACCTTTTATTTGTGACATGTCCTGAAATCTTAGTGGTAGCCAGTAAATACGGAACTACTTTCCTGTTCCCAATATTCTGTTTAATTCCGTTAATCCTAATCAATTGAATGTCTGTCACTTAAGCGTTCTCTAGGAGTAATACTTGTTATGGGGGTTATTTGTGACTTTCTTTTTCTAGTTGATGTGTGCAGATAATTCATTTTGGCTCTACTTTGACTTTAGATGATTACTGATAAAATGGGAAAACCCCCCACCTTATTATGTTCTCTAGATGGTAAATTTTTTTTTTACATAACATAACTTGTTATAGCCTATTTTATTGTTACATTGATTGTTCAGGCAAAAAAGAGATGTCAGTGAAGTGTCACTGCAGCGATGGGTAGCCAGTTACTGTGCAGTAATGCCTTTAAAAGAAAAATTGGTTGGGTATTACAGTAATCAGATCATTGCTGTACCAAGATGTTTATTTTAAAATCTTATTTTAAAAGTTTAATGTGTTGTATGTTCAGTAGTTGGTGCCAAATAAACTGTGACCCATGTTTCAGCAGAACTGTGCAAAATTGAGGTTGGTTGGTGTCAGCTGCAGGGTTTGTTCTGGGTAATAGCAAAATAACATTTACACTGGAGGGGTTTGACCTCATTCTTAAAAAGAACGTGTAGCTGTGGAGTAGAGCTTGCACCTGTAGGCCTGTTTTCACAGTGAAATCTCTTAGTGTGTGTGCTGTGCTCGCAGTATTCATTTTCTGTGTCAAACATTGAACTCTTCAGCTCTTTTACATGTATGTTCTTTTCATTTTTACTTTCTAGCCAGCCAAGCTAGAGATTTATTATCAAAAATGCTTGTAGTAGATCCAGACAAGAGAATTTCTGTAGATGAAGCCTTACGTCATCCTTATATTACTGTCTGGTATGATCCAGCTGAAGCAGAAGCTGTAAGTTTGCATTTAAAATAAATTTTAAGATATCAGTTTAATAGCTTTAAAGAATACCTCTAGTTTTAGTCAAGAGCATGCTCTGAACTCATTCTTTGGCTAGTAGAAGGCACACGTAAAGCCTTCGGATCAATGTTAGTGGCCGAATCTCCTGAAGAGCAGCTGCTGGAGTGGAGTTGATCATTTTGAAAGTGCTCGTTGATAGTTCCCTTTACTGTACAGAAGGAGCTTCCTATGTGATGGTAATCCAGGGCTTTTTTTAAAAGGGGACTTTCTCTGAGGACCCACAGAGCCTTACAATGGGCTTAATTTTTGCCGATGCTTTTAAACATCTTTTCACTGGGAGGTAGGACTTTAAAGCAAATTCCGGAGTTTTAAAATTAATGTGAATGAGGTATAGGGAGTAGACTGCCAAAGATGAAGGTAAAAAAATGCTGCAAAGTGTAATTTTCAGGTTTTTTTAGTTATGATTGGCTGTGTTAACCTGATGTAGTAGATGCACTATAGACTTTCTTTTCTTTGTAGCCTCCACCTCAAATCTATGATGCACAGTTGGAAGAAAGAGAACATGCAATTGAAGAATGGAAAGGTAAAAAGTGAGCATGAGAAATTACATTTATTGCACTAACCTGTGTGTTACTAATGCCTGGCTCGCAGTGCCTGTGGGCTGGACTGTGTAAGTGACTGGAACCCACTGTTCCCATAGGCAGTGCTGCTGGTGGCAATATGAAAAAAAACAGTAATGGAAGATGTTCTGTTTGGAGTGTGTGTGTGTGTGTATATATATATATGCGCACATGTGTATATGTACGTATATATGCATGTAACATTCTGAATTCTATTCAACAAAATGCCACCATTTTCCTGTTTTTCCTTCCATTCCTCTGAGGATTTTGTTATTCTGAAGTGTTTGTAATCTCAGTGGGTTTTTTCTAAATAGAAAATTATCTGAAAGACAAACATATGCCTCTTCTCAGTGTGCATTATTTAAGCCATATCTCTTGACAGTATTTACTACTGCATTTGTTCTAGAGGTCTTCAATAGCAGACGAGGTTTTTGGTGTGTTTTTTTTTCTCTCATCATTGCTTATTTATTGACTGAATAGGTTAAACTGACTTAAACAAAAGAATAAACAGCGTTGTGGTGTTGAAATCAATTACACCTTATAGTTCTAGTAAAAAATGTCAAGTGATGAGGCAGTCCAGATTTTAGACACCTACCAGAGGACCGAGGGTGATAGACATCTTTGTTTAGTACTTTGTAAGTTGCTTGGTTTTGAAAAAGAGCTTTATAAATTTCAGGTGTTGATTCTGGTTTATGTATACTTTCTTTAGGGCATATCTGCACAGGTACACTTCAAATTATTTGGGATTAATGCAAGGTAGAAAATTAAAATGGATCAGTTAAATCTAATTGAATCCATTTGTAAATGTTGTTACTCAGATTAATAGGTCGTAATCTATTTAAATATTGTTACTCTTAGCTGCATTAAGGTGATGGGTACCTGCACAAGCTACTGTGAGTTAATGGAAAGTAATTCAAAGCGTAGCTGGTGCAGTGCAGCAGTAATAACCCGTTGGCTCTAGAAGGGCCAAGGTAAGCCATCGTGTGTGAACCGAACTGCAGACGTACCAAGGGGATAAAGGATGCTCCTTTAAGGTCACAGCTCCGGGTTTTGTTGTTATTGTTTGGGTGCCTATATCCTAAATGGTCCTTGATTAGTAAATGAGGGCTTTCGTACAGTATTTTAATTATTTGTTTAACCTACTTCAGAATTTCCAGACTTTACTCAGTGTGTCCACAGAGATTGTTCTTTAAGAATAAAGACATTTGTGTATGGTTTTGTTATCAAAGTAGAATTTCCCCAGGGTTATCCATGGGTTTTTTTAAAATCTAAATCTGATTTTTTATTTTTTTTTTTACAGTTAATATCAGTGCATCATAGGTATACATAAACTTTTGGGGTGGGATGGTTGTTATTTTTAAATGGACAGCTATTCTATTTATAAAATACGGTGATTTTGGTACGTGCTTGCTGTCTTTCTGTGGTGCCTAAAAAAAATCCATAGAACTCCCAATCATTGCCATAGGCCTTAAAAAACCAACCAAACAAAAAAACCCCAAAACCCCAAAAACCCCAAAACAAAACAAAAAACCCAACCCAAACCAACCTGTACAAGTTGTACTTCCAGACTGACCCTTAACCATTTCACTGTACCCTTACACATGTAAATTGTACACAGATCCGCTGTGATCTTACAGTGTTTTTTCTGTCTCTTCTCTCATTCCTCCCACTCTTCTCCCATAAGAATTAATATACAAAGAAGTAATGGATTGGGAAGAAAGGAGCAAGAATGGTGTGGTAAAAGATCAGCCCTCAGGTTAGTCATTGTTTCAGTCGCTCTCCTGTAACTCTGCATGGTGCTGACCTGTCGCGCTAGTGAATGAAGAAATCCTGCTTAATAATCCAGGTGGGCAAGAGTTTTGTTGTTCAAGACTTGATTCTGATCAGCTTTTGGAGATCCGTGTGCAGTGGTTTTTCATTGTCATGAAGTAAGTTGTAGGAAAACTTAAGGAATCTTGTGTGTCCAACGCCCGGAGCTGCCTTTTCCCCAAAGGGCTCAATCAGCAAATAAATAATCGACGCCGTGGTACGTCAGCTGTAATCTTCTATGCTGAGCGCTTAATCTGTGGCTCTGCATGAATGAGTCCCTTTCATGCAGGGTTAAACATCGTTAGGGCTCCTTGTTTTAAAATTGGTTAATAGTGCAAAGTATTTATGCCCATGATTGAATCCTTGATGTTTCCTGCTGTTCTCTTGGTTCAGTAATTGCAATACTGTACTGGCTTTTATTAACTAGATCTATTGGATTTCTTGATACTCGGGTCACTATTCACATTATATATTGCTTTTCTTTTTTCTTTTTCCCTTCCTCCCCAGAGAGGGAGAAAAATTAAAATCTCTTTTAATGTTCACCTTGGGTTTTGACTGCTAGGGAGCTTAGTGCTTGCTGTTCCACTGCCTGTTAATTTCTTTATTTTCTAAGGATTTCTGTGGGGAAGGTGGTGCTTGGAGCCTAGAAGGATGGCTATTTGTACCTGCAATATTGTCTTGCCTCAGATTTTATTATGTTTGGTTTACTTAGCACAGATGCAGCAGTGAATAGCAACACCAGTCCTTCCCAGTCATCATCTATCAATGACATTTCATCCATGTCAACAGAGCAAACATTGGCCTCAGATACAGACAGCAGCCTCGATGCCTTGACAGGACCCCTTGAAGGATGTCGATGATCAGCCAGGATTGCAGACTTGACTTTGGAAAAGAACTCTTGCTTCCATTGGGCCTGAATTGCTTGTAAGTTAATGGAACCAAGTAGAAAAACTCCATGTTCTGCATGTTCTGCTAAAGTAATGCCTGTTTTTTTTACTCAGTTGTTATGAAATTGCCTGCTTAGTGTTGTAGAATGAAAGCAAATAAATGTCTAAGAACAAAAAAAAATTTAAATTTAGACACTATTATAGGCTTTTCTTTATTTCAGCCTATTTCAGGTGAGCAGTTATAATCGACTTTTAGCCAATAACTCTGTAAGTGAGTTCATGAATCTTCAGTCCCAATTAGCAGGCTTCTGTGACACAATATTTGTTTACATTTTAGTACAGTATTGCTCATTAGTAGGTTTTCTGAATGTATATGAAGTTTGTTTTAACGTGTGACTGTGGCAGTTTGCTTTATTTAACGACTGCAGTGTTGTACGTAAGTGTGAACTCACACACGGAACGCTCGCAGTACTGTGTTTAAAGGGCAGTTATTCTTCCACATAGCACTTTTTTTATTGAGCCCTTTCTATCTTCACTTTCCAATGATTCTGTCTCTCTTCTTGTAGAAGAGATAAACGTGGAGTTTGAAGAATATAGCCATCGCTTTGTATTTCACCTATGAGTACGTGTGTCTGACTCTTTCAGTTTTTTAAATGTGGGTGGAAGATACAGTGGCTTAATTAAATCTTAAGGAAGGATGAATGACTTATTTGTGAAGCAGTACCTGCTCAGAAGAGGAGAGAGTGCTAAAATGCTCTGTATTTTTAGCTGACGATACTGATCCTTTAACAAAAACAGAAAAGGAAATTATGTCTGTGATGCTCTTCATTCAGTGCAAGCCCTGATAAAAGGATAGATGAAATGGAGAGACTTGCAGCCTCAAAAACAGCTGCATAAATGTTTTCCATTTTTTTTAATGGGTCCATTCTATCTAGTGAGTAATTAAAGAAATAAAAATACAGTAGTGTTGAGTCATTTATAAATTATTTAGATAACAAAGCTTAGCTCTATTCCCGCATTAGGAAAACCTCTCTATTTGTACTGGGGGAGGAAAACATATTTAACACATTTTCTAAATACAGTGTCAGAAAAGAGGGGGAGATTATGTGCTGTTTCAGTACAGGCTTATCAGTACAGTTTTCAGAATCAGATAACACAAACTTTACCTGTTACACGGCACAATACCTTGAATTAGAAAATGCATTTGCAGTAGAGCAGGGCTTAAATTGCTTTGTACCACACACTCGTGAGCTTGTGCACGCTCACTTTGGAGTGCACAGGGGGAAAATTTTGCTAAAGGATCTTGTGTGTGCATGCGTGTGAGCTTAAATGATGCGACTGTAAGAATAATAGATGTACAAGATGAGGTAAAACACCACTTTCTTAAAGGCACTATATTTCACTGTTGATCCAGATACTCTTGACTTGAATATATAAACAGAACTTACCAAATAGACTGACCCAGCCAGCCACTACATTACTGATATATTTCTCTTGTAAAAGAAAATTGTCCATTGTTTTTGACCTTACAATTTGAAAAGCAGCAATTTCTCTTTACTACATATTAAAATTGTACCCCTTTTTAATAGCTTAATTTGCTGTAGCAAAAGTATTTAAGTTTTACTGTCCCAGAAGGTTAAAAAAAAATTTAAAAGTAATAAAGTACTTAGTAGGATGTTAACTTCAGAATTGTCATCTGGAATCTTGGATTTTTAGAATTCTGTTTAACTGAATTGCAGGACGTTAGGGCTTGGGCTTTTTCTTGTTTGGTTTTAAACCTACAGATACCATAGGTTATCTTTGGATACTGACAGTATATGTGAAATGCTTTTAGTGTGTTTTTGTCATTGGAAAACACATTTTAAACATACCTATTTACCGTGTAGCAGAACAGCACAGGTTGCTGTTCTTTTGCATTTTTTTAGTCCTTGTTATTTGTGTAAGTTAAAATTACTGAAGGCACCTATTCAAAATGAACATCAGTGATTCACTATGGAAGTAATCTACGGGACATCATTCTTCAAGATCTTTATCTTTTTCAGCTGAAGTTGCACTGTGCGGTGCCCATTTTCACAGTTACTGCTTTGGAAGACTTAACACAACAAAGATTTTTTTTTTTCATGTGTTTTGGATATTTGCAGAGTGGAATTTTTCCTATTGGCCTTGGGCTGCTCAGAACAAGGGGGTGTTGGACCAGATGCCCTCCAGGTCTCTTCCAACCTAAATTATTCTGTGATTCAAATTGTCATTGTTGTTTACCACAACTGCCCCAACTGTGATTTGAACTGGTATCTGACCTTCTCCCAGCACATGCTGTTAGCTTGAATATGTGCTCTTGGAACACACACCCCCCCCCGAGATTAATTGAGTTTATCTGTAAATCTTGTTGTAGGAAAAGCTGTCTCATACCTTATTTTTTTAATGTCTTCTTCCTATGGTATGCATTGAAACTTCAGAATTTTACAGCAACGTTGCTGCCTTCGGAGCATGCATGGAATGTCTGTGAGTAGTGTAGATTTTGATTCCAGTAAGATTCAAAACCAAATTGCTAATAACATGAATGAACGTTGATCTCAAGAAGGCACATGTGCAGATCATATCCAGAAAAACACCTGCAGAATAGATGCATGCTAAGGTTCCCGTGCTGTCGCAGTGTGCACATGCAGGCTATCGATGCACTGCATGCAGATGGTATGTATAGAGTTGTACCCCTGACTGCAGATCGAGTCCGATGCTCGTTTGTGAAATGGTCGTCAGTGCCCCGAGAACCTCATCACTGATGGAAGACAAATGCACATGTAACCTGCCAGGGGTTTAAAAGTTCAGAGACTTTGGTGTGCAATAGAATCGCTTGTATTCCTAATACTAAAATCATATATGTAAAGTGATGCAATTGACCATTTTTTTGCACTTTGGCATTCATAAATATTTATATGTATTTAAAGATTAAGAATATGTGAGTGTGTGTATACATATACATATTATATATAAAGAAACCTGCTCAGTTTTGTAAACATAAATGTTACTTTTCTTTGAGAGACTTTGTATAGTGTTAACACTACTGCGGTATACAGAAACAATTTGTGAAATACGACTAAAAATAAGTGGTGGTCAACATAGATCCAGTCTGTAATCTTAACTGCTCACCTGAAAAAAGAGAGGAATCTATGGCTAGCAATCAGATTATTTACCAGAAACATTATGTTAAATATATGAACACTGAGTAGCTGAATGGCATTGCAGAAATGGAGTATGTTTTAAGCAGTTCATTTCATCTGTGCTCATATCATTTTTCCTCAAAAAAAAAAAAACAAAAAAACAAACCACTTTGAAAGAGAAGCTTGGCCTTTAGGTGTGCTCTGAGGAAACGCTGTGGTATGACAAGTCTCGTTTTCTGTTGGAAAAGATGAGAAATGAGTATCAAGATTAAGGCTTTGTCTGCATGGATCATACAAAATGAACTAGTCTAATGACTGGAAACTAGTGTTTGCAAACAGCATTTGAAGTTCTGGAATGTTTCCGGTAAGGGTTTGTGTCTCTTTGGCAAAATAATGAAAATTAAACTCAACCTTCTAGCACTGAACTAGTTGGTTGGGAAGTTTCGAAAACCGTTAGGACCCAGAGGACTCTTGCCATTTTCTTTGTCTTTTTTTAAGTCCTAACAGAGCCTAAGTGTTTATTCAAAGTTAATTTAAAAAAAAAAAAGAAAAAGATTCCATATGTTTAATTTTTCTTTCCTGAAGGAAGGACCTTAAGTGCTGAATCGGTTTCCTTTTTAGGTCTGATTGTATTTGGCTTAACATCATAATTCAGTGGATGAAGTAGGATTTAGACATTCAAAATCTCAAAGAACTGAGAGCCGAACTTTTCTTTCGGCCAGAAGTGCAGCCCTCTGGTTTGGCGTGCACTGGACGTTCAGATGTTGAAGTGCAGACAAATCTTTACTGACCACAGTGCGGTTCTGGAGCACGGGTTCAGCCTTGCAGCGGTGCAGTCTGCGCGGGGCGTTTCGCTCGCCTTGTGACACTTGAGTGGAAGTCCTGCAGGCGTGGCGGGGCGGTGCTGAGCGGCCTTGGTCTGCGGGGTCTACAGCCGTCACATGGATTCTATCAGGGCTTGATGCTAAACTTCGTGATACCGTGTACTGGGAACCAAATTCTTTCCCGGGATGTGTATTGTGTAATTCCTGCTCAGAACTGGTTTTGATCCAGGGACACCTGCACCCAGACGCAGGATTTGGACACGAGTTCCTATAGATGAATCTAATAACTTCTTTGCTTTTCCAGAGTGTCTTTGATTATTTTTTTTAACATGTTGAAATACGACAGAAGAAATGTATTCTGGCTCATTATTTTACATATATTTTAGATTGTCTACTACATGAGTGATAGTGATGTTCTCAGAGCTTATTACACAACTTATCAAATCAGTTTTATTTTTTGCCCGCTCTGCATGCTAAAAATGCCTGGAGCTAAACTAATGTTTTAGGTAAGCCAGCTTTCCTCACGTTGGTGTTGGAGGAGAGTGGAGAGATAACAGTCGTTTCTGTTTGTGTTCTATAAAATGACTATTTTTGTAGCTAAAATTTTAGTTGTTGGATTTCAATCCCACGGTGTTGCTTTGTGGATATAAATTTACCTGGGTCCACTATTTCAAGCAGTGCATGTATAACAAGTCCAGTATAAAACTAAACTCATAAAAGCACTCTTCTGCAATTTATTATTGGAAATATGGCAAATTATTTTGGTCCAAGAATTCAAAACAAAATAGAGAAAATACATTTAACTATTTAAGTTTTTATTCCTCGATGCTGCTGTTTATTTTTTTGAAAAGGTGCTTGCAATTTTGCACAAAAGAAATCAACTTTATTAATTGCTGGGTTTGAAGCACTTTAGGATTCTTCTGCATACAACCAGTGTAGGGTGTGAAAAGGAATGACCTAAAAAATGATTAACGTGTTTAAATTTGGGTTGCAATCCTTGCTATTCTGATAGGTTTGACCAGCGTGTCCCTTTTAAACAGAAGCCTGTTTTCAGAGATTTTACATGAGAAGTTTTTTTATGGTCTGAAATCTTAACACGTAGTAGGGGATCATTTGGGAAACATCCTGTACTCGGCTGCCTGCAGGGTGACTCGAGTGGCAGCGTGACTTCCCAGCCACCCATTGCACACAGGCACCAGGCGGCTGTTCCTGGGGCAGGGTCAGCTAGCTAGGAGCACTAGCATTCTTTTTCTTAACAAAAACCTTTTTATTAACTCTTGGCTGCGCCTCACGAGGTAGTTGTCCGTGTCAGGGTAAGGCCAGCCCGCGCGCTGTCGGTCCCCGAACACCCCAGGCAGAGCCCGTCCCCGCTCCGGAGCGTAGCCCCGGTCCCCGGTTCTGGCTGGCGCCTGCGTTTGCTTCCCAGGCGCTGGGTCTGCAGCTCAGCTCTCCGGAGTGTCTTGGGGTACCAAAAGCAGCGGAGAAGGTCAGTGAGGAAGGACAATGTTTTGCGTTCCCTACCAGAAGCCGTAGTCCTGTTCCCGATGACAGAGCTAATCTGATACCCGTGAGCGTATGCCGTTGTATTGTCTCCTAAGGGGGAAAAAAGCTTTTTTGAAAACCCAAGTGTGTCCCTAGCTTTTCTATGAATTCAGATGCTTAAATTGGTGCTAATTTTTTTAAAAGGAAATGTAACAGATGGTTAGCAGCCTATTTGTCTGTTTTTGATACCTATATTTTCTTAAATGGTGGCAAGCAAAACTTTATAAAGTGACTAATGTGCATTTTCAGCTTCATCAGATTCCCAGATTTTCCTAAGGTAAAATGTTTAAACTTCCATGGTAGTTACTGCTTCTTTGGAGCTATTGCTCCCAGGTGTGTTGCACACCGATAAAATGAACACAATTAGAAAAGAAAAGCAATCCACAGCTCCCCCCTGCTGTAAATTCCAAGCCAAGCTGGGTTCCCAGGTGGCTTTAGCAGATCAGTGTGACCACGATGCCTAATTAAGAGCAGATCACAGATACCTGTGTGCAGTTAACTCGAGCACGGTGGTGCCTTACCTGGTCATTAAGGTAACTTGTAAAGATTATACAAATTTTCATCTATTTTAAAGAGGGAATAACAAATAGAAATAATTAACTGGTTTTGTACACATTCAGATGTTAATTCCAGAGAATATATTCTATAGGGTACTCCAGAATACGTTAGTAAAGAGTCTAACAGGCTCCCTGAGTGGTGTGTTATGAAATCCAGCTCTCTCTAATGACTCGAATAAGCCCACTCCAAACATGAGTCCTCTGAGGATTTATTTTGAAATGCCTTCAAGTTCTGACTGCCCTCGAATGCTTTGCCTGCCTTGGCTGGGCCCTCTCTCCCGCCTTTCGTTTACCAAATGTCACCAAAAGTAGCATCAAGCCCTATCACTTGCCACAGTGTTCTGATTTTATGGCCTTAATCTTAGTTCTAGTATGGTATCTAATTTCAGAAGAAAGATGTGCTTTGGGGTCTGATTACGCAGATGCGTGTGGCCCCTCCTGCCTAGGGAACTGGGCGTTGATTGCCGTGGCTCACTCTCGATGCTTGTGCAATAGGAACACGTTCCTTCCAATGCAGTGGCTGTTTTCTCTGATGCTGGACTTTGTTTTCAGGATGATTAGAAAGT